TAAACATTTTACAATCTAAACAACTGCAAACAGCTCAGACAAACATCAGAAATGGGGAAGTATCCGGACAATTTTGCAGCATTGAAGGAAGTCTTTGAGGTAAGTAATTGAATTAGAGACAGCTAGCGCAGCTTTATGAAAGTGATATTTGTGTACCTTACTAGTTGGAATGCTTTAGAGGGCATTACTGCCATAGAAAGAAAATGGAACACAATGGATGTCATATAATTGTTAAAAAGTCATTGAATGTTATTAACAGTGAAGATTATTGACTAAGACCACATCTATTGTGTAAGGTAAAATAGCTTGCTGGATTAAAAAACTGTTCAAAACCTGCAAAAAGTGAGTGAATGTTAATGGCATTTTTTTTTAACTGAAGAGAGGTTATCAGTAAGAGTGAAATAATAGCTTTGAAAGCAAATGACTAAAATTGGAAGAATACACACGATCCAACCTCATTATATTGGGCTATTGTGGTAGCTTTTCTGACACTATAGTAAATTTCCAGGTACTTTTAATCTTATTATGTTTACGGTCTTTTAATAAACCCCCTTCCTGAAGAAGAGTCGGAAAGAAAGGGTCGTGTTTAACAGAATGCGATTCAGTGTATTGACTGTAATTATTGGAGCACAAATTCTTGACTTTTTCAACTTAGTTATTTAAAAATTACAAACACGTCTTTTCTTCTTTTTTTTTTTTTTTTTTTTTTTTTTTTTTTTTTTTTTTTTTTTTTTTTTTTTTTTTTTTTTTGAGACGGAGTTTCGCTCTTATTACCCAGGCTGGAGTGCAATGGCGCGATCTCGGCTCAACGCAACCTCCGCCTCCTGGGTTCAGGCAATTCTCCTGCCTCAGCCTCCTGAGTAGCTGGGATTACAGGCACGCACCACCATGCCCAGCTAATTTTTTGTAGTTTTAGTAGAGACGGGGTTTCACCATGTTGACCAGGATGGTCTCGATCTCTTGACCTCGTGATCCACCCGCCTCGGCCTCCCAAAGTGCTGGGATTACAGGCTTGAGCCACCGAGCCCGGCACGTCTTTTCTTCTATCTATAGAGACAACATAACCAAAAATCAATGCTGTCTTACCTATATTATGTACCTGTGTATGTACAAACTTGGCTTACAGTAAATTATTAACATGCTATATATCTACAAACAGGTAGGCAAATTTGACACTGCTGAAAGAGCTGACTCATCACAGTCTGTCAAAAAACCTCTGTCTATAGAATTAATTCCTCGTAGGAAGTTTAGACAAGTCAGAATGACCCAAACTTTTTATTGTATCCAATTCAGTCATAAAAGTTGGGTAGAATCTCCAAATCTTGGGCTGGGTGTGGTGGCTCATGCCTATAATCCCAGCACTTTGGGAGGCCAAGGGGGGTGGATCACCTGAGGTCAAGAGTTCCAGACTAGCCTGGACAACATGGTAAAACCCTGTCTCTGCTAAAAATACAAAAATTAGCTGGGCATGGTGGCGCATGCTTGTAATTCCAGCTACTTGGGAGGCTGAGACAGGAGAATCGCTTGCACCCGGGAGGCAGAGGTTGCAGTGAGACAAGATTGCACCACTGCACTCCAGCCTGGGCGACAAGTGAGACACCATCTCAAATTAAAAAAAAAAAAAAAAAATCTCCAAACCTATTTCTTTCATCTTGAGTGTAATATTTTTAGGGTACATAAATCTAGTATGGCAAAGAGTTTGTTTTGTTTTGATGGCTTATGATGGAAGCCATATTTTCTGCAATCTGCTCCAGGCAACTTTTAAAGAAAAAATAAAACAAAACATGATCAGGGTAGATTCTACAACAAGTAATTGAGTGAAACTACTATAAGTTATAATCTGATTGTAAATCTTTGTCATAGTTTAAATTAGATTTTAAAAACTAAAAAGCCTGTGGGACACTATGAAATCTTCAACATTATGGAAGTTGATATTCATATTGATATGTATATGTGCATATGCTATTGTCTATTAATAATGACAGCTGTGCCAGGCGTGGTGGCGCGTGTCTGTAGTCCCAGCTACATGGGAGGCTGAGGCTGGAGGATCTCCTGAGTCCGGGAGTTCTGGGCTGTAGTGCGCTATGCCAATCGGGTGTCCACACTAAGTTCGGCATCAATATGGTGAACTCCAGGGAGCGGGGGACCACCAGGTTGCCTAAGGAGGGGTGAACCGGCCCAGGTCAGAAACGGAGCAGGTCAAAACTCCCTTACTGATCAGTAGTGGGATTGTGCCGGTGAATAGCCACTGCACTCCAGCCTGGGCAACATAGCGAGACCCTGTCTCTAAATTTTTTTTAATTAAAAAAAAAAGTAAAAAAAAAAAAATTAAAGAAATAATAACAGCTGTTACAATAACAAGGAACTGCATAAAATTTATTTGAACACAATGGGTCTGATTCAGCCACTGGGATCTGTTAAGAATATCTTCAGTAAAGCACTTTATTGTAAATAAACACTACTTTACATTTTGTAATATTATATATTCTACTATGTGTTTTGTTCATTGAGCAGTTACATTAGAGAATGGATTTTAGTGACAACATTATTAAAATATGGAAAGTATCTTATGTTAAAAGAGTTTGGTGTATACAGATTGTAGTGGTCGTTACACAAATCTATATATTAAAATATTTATAGAATAGTACACCAAAAAAGTTCATTTTACTGTATGATAATTCAAATAATAAAAATAACTCTTTTTTTTTTTGCATTGGGTGTCTTTATCACATTACCCAGACTACCTTGCCCCGCCAGGCCCAGTCAAAACGAATTTTCAAGATGTAATAAATAGTTTAGATTTTTTTAAATGCTTGTGCTAGGCTCTGAAGGATAAAAATATAACTTATGGCATAAAATAAACATTTTTTAAAAATTATAAATAATGCTAAGATTATAAAGAACAAGAAAAATATTTTAAAGTATATCCCCCCAAACATCACAAAACAATCTATCACAGATACAGTCTGGGACTCTGAGCCTTTTCAAGGGAAAATTTCAAAGTTAGTCAATCTTCACAACGTAAACTTCTTACAGCCTCAAAACGTGAGACGACTTTCCTAGGATTTACTGGCTGGGAATAAATGTTTCGCTCAGCAATTAATAAAAATAATTGTAAAAATTTGTTTGCCTCATAGAATAACAACTGGAAGGAAACTTAAATAATTATTTGATAGGCCGGGCGCGGTGGCTCAAGCCTGTAATCCTAGCACTTTGGGAGGCTGAGGAGGGTGGATCACGAGGTCAAGAGATCCATCCTGGCCAACATGGTGAAACCCTGTCTCTACTAAAAATACAAAAATTAGCTGGGCATGGTGGCATGTGCCTGTAGTCCCAGCTACTTGGGAGGCTGAGGCAGGAGAATTGCTTGAACCTGGGAGGCAGAGGTTGCAGTGAGCTGAGATCACGCCACTGCACTTCAGCCTGGTGCCTGGTGACAGAGTAAGACTCTGTCTCAAAAAAAAAAAAAAAAAAAAGAATTATTTCATTACCTTCAAGCAGGTGTAAATAAAGGTATTTAACCAAAGCTTACGAATCTCTTCTCAGAGATCTCCAAACACAGAGATTCCACAGTGGCCACCAGTGAACATATTCCTGTGTTTTAGCTCTAGGATAGTTACGTTGGGGATGTGAGTCTGTGTGTTTCCTCTGAAACAGCTGCTATGTTAAGTTTTTTCATCATCTGGGATCTCTCAAGGCATAGAGAACTACTATAAAAATTCCTCTTCTAGAAAATATCCATGCTTTTCAAGACATTAATTGGATTATCTCTTTAGTCATTCTTCTTCAAGTTTAACAAATCTGCTCTTGATGTGATATGCTCATAGAGATGCCCATAAGACATTTCTATCATAATAGCTCTTTCTATTCACTTTGGGTTGTCCATATCCTTTGTGTTTTAAAAAATCAGTGACCAAAGTAGGCCCTGTACTCTCTTTAATACTCAGCCCCAGTCCCAAGGGTAGAGTGCTAGAGGGCTTCCTGGGCCATGCATGTGATGTTTCTTTCCCTCCCTCCCTTCCTTCCTTTCTTTCTCTTTCTTTCTTCTTTCTTTCCTTCTTCCCTCCCTCCCTCCCTTCTCTCTTTCTTTTTCTCCCTCCCTCTCTCTCTTTCTCTTTCTCTTTCCCTCCCTCCCTCCTTTCCTTCCTTCCTTCCTTCTCTCTCTTTCTTTCTGGCATTCTTGGAAGAAGTTAGATGTTGCATATACAAACCACATACAAATGGGCCTCATGTAAAACACAAAACCCCAGTAAAGAAACATGTAGTTCTTTAGTTAACTTTTTAGTTAGTGATGGAAATGCATTTAAGAATATGAAAAGGAGCACCCTTCAGCCAAAGATGTATAAGTAAGTGACTGAAATAAAAAGAAAACTCCTCCAGTGGTAGCCAGAGTAGTTACTATTCCCTTCCTATCAACATTGGCGTGGATGTATAGATCCCTTCCTCCACAGCAGCAGAACAAAATAAAATGAGTTTTATAACTGGCATTCATAACAATTTGTAGACAACTACAGAATTAAATGAGGAGTCATCTCTGATAGTTGTATAATAATAGGAAAAGAAATATCTAGACCTGTAGACATAAAGTTGATGAAGACACTTGACATTAAATTTCAAACTTCAAGTAACACCCCTAGACCAACATTTTTCTGTAATTCCTAAGTCGGCCCTGATTCAAAGAAGGGACCAGGTTGGCATAGGCCAACTTTAGATATGAACAGGACCTAAAGGAGGCCTAGCAGAGACCCCAATCCACTAGTTGATGAGGAAGAAGACAAAAAACAGAATTAGAACCAAGGATTTCGTAGTCTTAAGGACAAAGGGGTTGTTTGTCCATTATTGGGGAAAGGATCCATCCTTTAGGTGAACCCTCATATATATTTTACTGACTGGCATATTATTCATTCTGTGGTATATTTCATTTCTCTTCACTGAACATTTTGCGATCTTTTAAAAAATTCCTGCGTATGTTCTCTTTATTATTTTTATTTTTGTAATTAAAAAATATGGAACGCTTCACAAATTTGCAAGTTATCCTTGCACAGGGGCCATACTAATCTTCTCTGTATTGTTCCAATTTTGGTACATATGCTGCCGAAGCAAGCACTATGTTCTCTTTCATGTACCTGAAGTTGGAGGACACAAGAGAGCTGGCTTCTAAATTCTGTTCCTCAGAGTACCTGAAGATAAACAAGTAAACAGCTTCCCCAGACAGGCCTGTTACTGTTTGCTTGTGCCACCTATTATTTACCCAAGAATGAGACCTATTTTGTGAAGAAGAAAAGAAGTTCTGCTCTAGAAAGTGTTCAGTGAGGCTTTTGTTTTATATTGCAGGTAAGGGAGGAATGCAGTGGGGAGGTTTCTATAAAATCGGCATTGTCAACTGCCCAAGGCAGAACTTGTGGTAGCTTGAGAGCTTGTCTCTGTTTTAAATTCCTGAAAAAGCCAGGTGTGGCGGCATGCACCTGTAGTCCCAGCTACTTGGGAAGCTGAGGTGGGTGGATGGCTTGAGCCCAGGAGTTCTGTGCGACATCAATCACATATTCGCGATAAGTTCAGCATCAATATGGTGACCTCCTGGGAGCAAGGGATCACCAGGTTGCCCAAGTAGGGGTGAACTGGCCCAGGGAAGAAGTGGAGCAGGCCAAAACTCCAGTGATGATCAGTAGTGGGATCACACCTGTGAATAGCCACTGCATTCCAGCCTGGACAACATGGTATCTTATTTAAAAAAAAAAAAAAAAAACCAAACCAAAACAAAACAAAAACACTGGAAAAAATAAACCCTGAAAATTATGGGCCCACTTCCAATCTTTTCTCTGCTTCCCTGACAAGAGATATTGGTGCAAAAGAAACTGCAGTTTTTGCCATTTAAAAGTAATGACAAAAACTGCAACTACTTTTGCACCAACCTAATAATATGGGTCCAAGAAAGAAACCAAAGATTAATGCCTCCAATAAAGCAAAAGTCTTGTCATATAACTGCCCTTCTTAGACTACTTGGGCTGCTATAACAAAATACCATAAACTGGGTAGCTTTAAAGCAATAGAAATTTAGGCCAGGCGCAGTGGCTCACGCCTGTCATCCCAGGAGTTTGGGAGGCTGAGGCAGGCGTATTACAAGGTCAGGAGTTCGAGACCAGCCTGGTCAATATGGTGAAACCCCAGTCTCTACTAAAAATACACACACACAAAAAAAAATTAAGCCAGGCATGGTGGTGGGCACCTGTAGTCCCAGCTACTTGGGAGGCTGAGGCAGGACAATCGCTTGAACCTGGGAGGGGAGGTTGCAGTGAGCCGCCAATGCACTCCAGCCTGGGTGACAGAGCAAGACTCCGTCTCAAACAAAACAAACAGAAATGTATTGCTCACCATTCTGAAGACTGAGAAGTCCAAAATCAAAGCAGATTTGGTGTCTGGTGATGGCCTACTTTCTGGTTTATAGATGGCACATTCTTGCTGTGTCCTCACAGCAAGATGGAAGGGGTAAGGGTCTCTCTGGGGTCTCTTTTATAAGGACACTAATCCCATTCATGAGGGCTGCCTCCTCATTACCTAATCACTTCCCGAAGTCCCCGTCTTGTAATAGCATCGCCTTAGGGGTTAAGATTTTAACACGAATTTTGGAGGGACACAAATATTCAGATGATAGCACTGCCCAAATGCTAATGCAAACTCATTGTTGCTCCATTTGTTATTTAAACACTGTGCATTATTGCATTATCTTCCACTTGTCCTCTTTCCTTCTGTAATTTGTCTATATTGGCTTGTTTATCTTCTGGCACTTCTTCCCTCCCTTCTGTCTGGGTTTCATTCCCTAACAAAGGCTCTGTGCCTGTCTCCCTGCTCAAACCCCTCCGTAACTGTAATTACCACCTTAGTCTTGCCCAGTGGCTGTATCTTCACCCATAGATTTAACCGAGACAAAACTACTACCTGTTAGACAACTTTAGCTCTGCAGCATGAACATCTGAGTTAAGAAAAAATTACGAGTACACAAGTCACACATAGTATTGGAGAATACTAGTCCTACAAGGTATAAACAGATAAGGCAGGTGAGGTCCAAGCCAGTTTCTCTATGAGGCAATGTCTTCCACTTAATATAACCGAATGTATTACAAAAGAAAGAAAGAAAGGAAGGAAGGAAATAAAGGAAGAAAGAATGAGAAGAAAGAAAAATTTTCAATAAATCCACACTCAAAAAAAAAAAAAGGAGGCAAACTAGTATGAACAGAACAATTAGAAAACCAACTATAAATTTCACTTTACATATGCTAGACAAAGGAGTTACTATCATGAGAATTTAACCATCACAAAATATTTTGCTGAACCGTATTTGTTCCTATGCTAAGGAAGAAATGTCCATAGACACAGGTTTGAGTTTAAAGAAACTAAAAACTTAAGACGGCCAGATTAATGATATCTTTCATTTTCTTATTTATAGGTTTATGTATTTTTCAAATTATTTGGAAAGAACTTTTGGAATCGAAAAAAGTTTAAAAACTAAAAATTCTTTTCTAAATTTTTTCTGTTGAATTAGTATTCTGTTTATGAAATAGGAACGCGATGTCCCCAAGGTGCTATTGATGTCATCCAGTTATAGCTAACTATGTGCTTAAATAATAATTCAAGTGAGGATGAGAAATATATTTTACAGAAAGTGACAGCAATATTATGCTTTTATACCTTGTTGATACGATCCAAAATGTGAAGATATTTTAAAATATTTGAGTTACTGATTTTTTTTACTTTTCCTCTAGATTAATGACACTACAGAGCTATGTATATTTTGGTAGTCACCAAACTATTAAAAATGTCATATCATTATTGTTATCCATGCTCTACACAAGGATTTTTCAGCATTGGAACTACTAACATTTTGGGCTAGATAATTCTCTGTTGTAGGGTGCTGTTTTCTGCTGTGCAGGATGTTTAGCACCATTCCTGGTCTCCACCCAATAGATGTGATGACCAAAAATGTCTCTAGACATTGCCAAATGTCCCCTGAGGGGCAAAATTGTCCCTGGTTGAGAAACACTGCTGTATAGTGAGTCATTACTATCCAAATATTTTGATTATCTTTTTAACCATTACCTATTACCCCGCCACATTAATCATGCCATGATTCACATTGATCACAATGATTAAATAAATTATAGATTTATTAAGTCGCTCAGGCACTTACCATTAGGCTATTAGACAAAGTCTGGGAATACAAGGGGAAAAAATTCCCAAAATTACAAAAAATAAAAGATTACATGAAAAGAGCAAAGGTGTTGGCTGCACACTAGGATCAAATGACATTCATTTGTTGAAGTAGTCTGAATGACTCAAAGACATACAGCAGCAATTATTCACTTAGCTATAACACAGCAAACATTAACACATTATTTTGAAAAGGAGAGATGTTGCTTCATGTGAAAATACTGATAATATTTAAGAAGAGATGTGAGTGACTCATCAGACACTCAGGCATAATTTTTCCCTTTACCTGTTACTAATCATTTTTCTTACTGCCTTTTTTATTTAAGCACATGTTCAGTAGCACCCACAATCAAAATTCTATAAAACGTAACATCGAATATCTTACTTTTAGTTTATTAAAACAAGTATTGTAAATGATCACTAAGAGTGAATAACATAAACAATAAGTATTATTTGTATCACCATTCTTCTAGATTTTTATGTCACCACTGTGAATGGTGGATGGTCTTTTGTCTCTTCTAAATGTCCCATTCCTTATGGGATAATTAAAAATGACCCATAAGCAAAGTTAAGTTTTAAGAGGATTTTTTTCAAATATACAGCCTTGGCTTGTACTATTGTTATCCTCCAATTTCCTTTGTACATTTTCAAAAATAATATGTGAGTTTTAAAACTTACTTAAAATGACTCTTTTTAAAAAAGAAAACACTGTAGTGGGATGCTGGGATTGCATTCATCCCAGCATGCTCCACCACTGTTCTTTGGATGGCAATCACAGGACCCAGACATCAAGCTGTGGAAGAGATTCTTCCAAGCAACAGCATCTGGCTCTTTGGCAAACTGAACAGGCAGTTGCCCTGGTGGCTTTGGAGTTGCCTCTGGGTCTGTCACAGGGTAAGGCTGCTGATGGAGCGTCTGGATTCTCGTCTCCTTTTCAGTTCACTATCTTTCTCATATACCTTTTGGGCATCAAGAGACCCACTCTCTTCCATAAGGCAAACACTACCCTCCTTAAGTCTAATGAACTTTTACATGAACCCTGTGGTACTTCCGTAAGTATCCCTTTCCATTGCCCACATCTCCTGCGGAAGTGCAAAAATAGGCAAACATTTTGGCATCAGCAACACTGGCATTCTATTTCACACCCCACCTACAGAGAGAATCAGAAATTAAATGCTCTATTCTCAGTTCTGAATATTTTAAGCTTGTATTTTCACCTTCTTTACTCATAATAGATCCTTTTGCCAGTTAAACTTAATAAATTCATATTTATAATATGAATAGCTGCCTAATCTCATAAAAAAACTTAGGATCACATAATCTAAGCTGGTAAGGTGGTACAAAGACTATAGGAGCTTAGTCTGAAGAATTTATGGCACTTCAAAATCATAAGTGCAGTCGTTGGAACAAATAAACACCTTGAATACCAGAATCAGTAGCTCCAGAACAAAGGGGCTCTCATATCCTCTTAACTGTGAAGGAAATTAAAAAGATCAAATTTGAAAAATAAAGAATGAGTTTTTAGAGGTTTGGGAATTAAAAAAAAAAAAAACCTAACTCTGAATAATTTGCATGAAAAGTATTAATCAATATGGCTTCTCTACAGACCACCAGCTATGCACAGGTACCATGACCCACAATTCATACCCAAAAGGTAAAGTACTATTGGTGAGGATGTGGCTCAAAGACTCTAGTGTGTCCAAACACACACAGGATCAGTGGGACTGATTTGTAAGAGGTAGCGTTTAATTCTTCCTGTGAGAATTCTTCAGAAAAAAGAAATCTTTATGTACTTGCCACCTCATGGAGACTCAGTTTTAATCTGTTATTTGATCACCACATTCAATAACTCCATCAATAACCTATGAAAAATTTCATGGTTTAACACGGGGGTTTTCAAAA